GGCAAGGTTCTGTGCCATCTTAACTTTCAATGCTATGCTAGCTCCTAAGGCATTTTATCCTTGAAACATTGGTTACTACTTTTTGCCAATGATCACATCAAATTGCAGTTCATATCCTCAGAGTTCCCAAAAAGAACTGCTACATGAAGTTTATATTTGACTGCTAGGCAATATTTTAATTTGATGTTTCAGAGGCATCTCAAAGTTGACTCAAAAACTGATCTAATGAATTTACCCAAGGTGGAATCTCCTCCTCTGTTTCTAGGGGTGTGGGATTGCCATTCCTCAGACTGCAGGGTTCCAGAATCTAGGATTTACTCACAGGTATTTATTTAATAGATGAAAGAATCTCTAATCAAAAAGAGGGCAAGTAGAGAAGAGGCTTCCGGTAAAGAGTACATGTAGAAGGGAGTTAACAGAAAGATTACCTAGGATCAAACCTGAAAAAGTTCTTGAGCCAGTGTAGAAGACACCTCAGCAACATCCTGTCTGAGAGGCAAAAGATATTTGCATACCAGTTCCTGGTAGTTATTAAAGACTGTCCCCAAAAGGCATCGGTTTGTCAGCACATCTAAATTAAAGCAGGGACAGCAAAAACAGTCTTCTGTGACCCGAGAAAGCACTTGGACAAAGAAATGCAGAGGTTGAGTGTTGAAGGTAAGGCTTGTATGCACTGACTATCAGGGGACACGGCAGTGCACTGAGAACACCTGTGACAGTCTCCTTCATCTCCAACCTCCATGTCCAGCCTTTAAACATGTTCTGAGTATTCCCTTCTCAAATATGTCAAAAGAATACCCATTTCCCTCCATTTTGCCACTACTCCTATTTTCATAGGTAAACTGCTGCTGTCACTTTCAAATATACTTGCTTCTCTTAACCATTCTTTCTACAGTGGCCAGTTACTTATACAAAAACTATGAGGAAACTAGGTCATATTCTATTCCATGTGCCAAAAATGCACTCTTTACTTTCATGTCTCTTATTTAGGCAACTTATTTGTTTTGTAAATCTTCACAGACACACTGTTTTCTCTAGAGGTTGCCTAGACTATGAAGATTGGGCAGAGTTCCCCACTCCCTTTCTTTTGATTAGTGTTAAAGTTTTATGTGACTTTCCTTTAAAATACTTACTGAAGTCTTAGTTAGATGTTTATTTTCTTGGCTATTTTATTTAGAATTTAGAATAGATTATATGCTCCAAAAGAGTACAGGTGATCCACTTTAGATCACTACTCTTTCTCTAGTGCATGCCAGAGGGCCTGGGACTCAGTAGGTTCTCAACAAAGACATGGATAAATTGATACATGGAAGTATAAAGTACTGAAGAAATTTCTCAATTTGCATTTAGAGAGTTTCCCGTAAGCTGGCAGACTCTTATTAGGGTTTAGTAGAAATCAGTGAAATAATAGCAGAAAACATCCATAATCTTCAGGAAGACATGTATCTATGTATGGGAAGCTTATAGACCCCAAATAGACACAACCAAGAAAGATCTTCACCATGGCATATTATAGTCAGCCAAAAAAGAAAACTACAGAATATCCAATGCATAGAGATGCAAAAATCCTCAACAAAAAGTTAGCAAATCAAATTCAAGAGTAGCTTAAAAAGAACATGCACTATGATTAAGTACGTTTCATTATAAGCAGGCAAAGATGGTTCAACATATGTAAAAAATATTCATGATACATCACTTGACCATAATGGAGGAGAAAAATCACATGACCATCTCAATAGATTCGGAAAAAAGCATTTGATAAAATTTGACCTCTCAGACCAGCACTGGTGGCTTACAATTGCAATCCTAGTTACTTGGGAGGCTGAGATCAGGAGGATCGCAGTTTGAGACCAACCTGGGCAAATAGTTTACAAGACCCTATCTCCAAAATAGCCAGAGAGAAATGGACAGGAGGTGTGGCTCAAGTGGTAGACTGCCTGTTTTGTAAGCATTAAGTTCTGAGTTCAAGCCCCAGGCCCCCCCACAACAAAATCAGCCTCCCTTCATGATAAAAGATTTGAGCAAATTAAGTACAGAAGGATAATACCTTAGCAATACCTTAGCATAATAAAGCCTACATATGATAAATCCATAGTTAACATGATACTGAATGGTGAAAAACTGAGAACATCCTCTCTAAGATCAAGAAGAAGACAAGGGTGTCCACTTTCTTTTTTCATTTTTTATATCTTTTTTCATTTTTATATCTTTTTTCATTTTTTATATCTTTTGTTTTCCTTAATCTGCTTGGGGGCACATTGTGGCATTTACAAAAGTTCTTACAATATATCATAATTGAATTCACCCCCTTAATCATTCTTCCTTATCCTACCTCCTCATTCCTAGAATAGTTTCAACAAGTCTCATTTTTCCATTTTCATATATGAGTACACAATATTTCTACCACATTCACCCTCCTACAAGGGGTGTCTACTTTTACAACTCATTAAATTTAGTACTAGAAATTTTAGCCAGAGTTATAATGAAAGAGAAAGAAAAAAAAGTGATACAAACAGAAGATGAGGAAGCAAATTATCCCTGTTTTCAGATATCATTCTATGTATAACAAAACCTAAAGACTCTACCAAAAGACTATTAGAACTGGTAAACAATTTTAGTAAATTAGTAGGAAACACAGTAAACATAAAAAATCAGTAATAAATTTTCTGAGAAAGAAATCATGAAAGCAATCCCATTCAAAATATCCACAAAAATAAAAGACCTAGGATTAAACTTAACTAAGGATGCAAAAAAACTCTACAATGATAATTACAAAACACTGATGAAAACACTGTGAAGAAGACACAAAAAATGGAAAGACCTCCCATATTCAGGACTGAAATAATTAGTACTCTTAAAATATCCATACTACCTAAATTGATCTACACATTCAATGCAATCTTTATTAAAATGCCAATGACACTCTTCACAGAAGTAGGAAAAACAGTCCCAAAATTCACATGGAAGCATGAAAAATCCTTAATGTCAAAACAATCTTGAGCAAAAGCAAAGCTGAAAGCATCACAAAACCTGATTTCAAGATTGCAGAGTCATAGTAACTCATACAGTTACAGCTGTATGCTGTAACTCATACAGCATGGTATGGGCACAGGAAAATGTACGTAGATTGAGGGAGCAGAAAAGTCTTGGAAATAAAGCCTTGCATCTAAAGCCAAATGATTCTCAACAAAGGTGACAAAAACACAGTGGAGAAGACACAGTGTCTTCAGCAAATGGTGTTGGGAGAACTGGATATCCACATGGAGAAGATTGAAATTTGACCTTTATTTTTCACCTGGTATGAATCAAAGGCCTAAAAATACATCCTGAAACTCTGCAGGTACTAGAAGAAAAATAGGGAAAACACTTTGAGACATTGGTACAGTAAAAATTGACAAACAGTATTTCATCAAACTAAAAAAAAAACTTCCTCATAGCAAAGGACACATGCAACAGAGTAGAGACAACCTATGGAACGAGAGAAATATTTGTCAGCTATTCATTTGACAGAGGGTAAATATTCAGGATATTTAAAGAACTCAAAAAAAAAAAGCCCACAAGTAATCCTACTAAAAGTGGGTAAATGATATGAACACTTATAAAAGGAAGAAGATTGCTTAATATTATTAGTCACGAGGGCAATACAATTAACCTACATCATCCTGGACAATGGTTGTTATAAAAAAAAAACTGCTCATGAGGATGTGGAGAAAAAGGAACTCTCAAACACTGTTGATGGGAAAGTAATTCACTACAGCCATGATGGGGGGGTCTTAAAATAGATCTACACTATGATGTAGCTATTCCACTCCTGGATACATATCCACAGGAAATGGAATCAGCATATAAGAGAGACAGACACCAGTAAGCCCATGCATATTGCAGCTATTTACAATATCTATCAATCTATCTATCACCTATCAATCTATCTATCATCTATCAATCTATCTATCATCTATCATCTATCTATCTGTCATCTATCATCTATCTATCTATCATCTGTTAATCTATCTATCATCTATCTATCTCTATCATCTACCATGAAGTAGTATTCAGCTGTAAAAGTGAAATTCTGTCATTTGCAGGAAAATGGATGGAACTAGAGAATTTAGTGTTAAGTGACATTAGCCAGATGTAGAAACACAAGCAAATACCATGTGTCTTCTCTCATATGTTGAAACTAAAATGTTGACCTGGAAATAGATAATGATTTCCAGGATTTGGGAAGGGTGGTGGGGGATGAGGGTGGAAGAAAGGTGGATGAATATGAACAGTGTACTGTATGCATGTATGGGAATGTGAAACTGAATCCCATCAATATGTATAATTAACATGTATAAATAGCATGTACTTTGAACATAAGTCCTATTTATTCTTTGGGACGTACTGGGCATTGATCTCAGGGACTCTAGCTTGCTAGGAAAGTGCTCTGCCACTTGCACCACACCCCAGGACTTTTGCTTTTTTATTTTTAGTTTGTTTTTCAGATAGGCTCCCATGATTTTGCCAGTGGTGGCCTTTGATGTCAGTCTCCTACCTCTGCCTCATGAGTATCTGGGATTTAAAGGCATGCACTACCACACCTGGCTTGTTTTGAAACAGTCTCGGTAACCTTTGCCTGGCCTGGCCACTAATCACTGTCCTCCTGATCTCCACCTCCAGAGTAACTGGGGTTTTAAGCATATGCCATGGAATAATATAGAATCAGAACATATTGCTTTTAACAAAAGCAGAATGAATTCATTTTGAAAAATGTACATAGGATTGTACAAGACATTTGTGTGCATTCTTTTTTTGAGAGCTATCTTGTGCTGTGAAAGCACTAGGAGGTATCAGAACTGTTTTTTGAATGAATACTTTCAAATATGTTTTCCCTCTGGGCTTTGGTATCCCCATTTGCATCTTCAGGTAAGTATGGTCTGAGCATCACTGATGAGCCTGCCCTCTAGTAATGTGCAGGTATTCATGCTGCTGCTGAAAGGCAAAATCTGCCACAGCCCCTAATCATCTCTTTCTTGTCCAGCTTTTCTTAGCCTTCTCCGAAGTTTCTCACAGAAAGCTTCCCACTCTACCCTTCTTAGAGGCAAATCAAAATAGTCCTCCTTCTGGAGCCACCTAGAGAGGCGGTGGTAGCCACGGAGCTTCCACCTATCAATGGACTCCAGAAACAGCAGCACAAGGCGAGCTGTTCCAGGCCTGGCCACCAAGTAGTAGGTGGCCAGTCTTAACTCCAGACTGCACCAGGGGCTTCCCAGGGCCTGGCAGCTGAGCACACAGAGGGTGGTCCTGCTGTTTTCCATGTTGGCAACCATGGCATCCATTCTGTCCTGCCCAATCCCAAAGTCCCTCTCTGGTAGGCATATCCTCAATCCCTCGCCTGCTGGAGGAGACTTCTCCAGGGCAGGAACCAGTTCTTCCAACACCCAGGCTCGGTCCTGCTCACAAAAGGATATATAGACATCATAATGAAATTGGCTTCGAGGGCCACGCCCACACAATTTCCACCACCACCTATAAAAAAGTGTCCAGAGGTGGTGAAGCCAGGGCCATTTGGGGCAGCCAAGCAGTGCAAGGACAGTGGTCAGGAGAACCAGAGTGAAGCTGGTGAGAAAGCCCCGAAACTCCAGATCATGTGAGCAGTGATCAGAAAGGAAGGAGAGCAGTGGAGTCTTGGAGTAGTCAGAGGCATTGACTGTACACATGGCTTTCTCCAGCCCATACACAAATGAGTTTGGGGCTTGGGTTGCCCAAGGTCCCATCCAAGAGCTTTCACACTGGCAGGTGAAGGTGACATCTGAGAAATAAACATACTGAGGCATCAGGGGAATTAGCTCCTGGAAGCTGATGTCCAACCCCAGGGCCCATTCAGAGTTGAGTAGTAACAGCTGAAGTTGGTCCAGGCCTCTGAATCTGGACATGGAGAAATTCCCAAGATTCAGGTGGCTCAATGCCAGTACCTGTAACTGAGGCATTTTCTCCAGTAGCATTTCCAGCTTCATTGAACTTGACTCATAAAAGAAGTTGAGGTCCCCCAGCTCTAGCACACGCAGTCTGGGCATCTCAAGTAGATGCAGGTTTTCTGTTTCATCAGGATCAGACCAGAAGTGCAAGTGCTCCAGGAGAGGAAGCTGTAGGAAGAATCTCTGGGTTGAACTGTTTGAGAAAATGTAGGGGCTGCAGCCTCGCAGAGTGAGGTGACGCAGGGAAGGGAAATGAATTGTGGTGTTGGCTGGAAGAAGTAACACATAGCAAGTTTGTAAGGTAAGGTTCTCCAACAATAAGAAGGGTTCTCCATGGGGAACACTAAACTGGATCCACTGTTTTGCCCGTATCTCCAAGCTGAGCAGTGCTGGAGGCCAGGGAGGGTAGATATCCAGCATCTCAGGAGAACTCAACTGTAGATGGCTCAGCTTTTGGGGACCTTGGAGCTGCATGCCTGTGATACGCTCTAAATATGTGCCTAGGAGGTTCAGTGAGGTGAGGGCAGGAAGAGAGGAGAGCCATCCTGGCTTTAGCATCTTAATTTTGTTCCAGCTAAGGTCTAGGGTCCTCAGCCACCTCAGTCCCTTCAGGCTGTCATTAGATAAAATGGAGATATTGTTCCCACTTAGCCAGAGCTCCTGGAGTTGAGGAAGAAAGGAGAAGGCCCCAGATGGCAGAACAGAGAGCTCATTGTGGGACAGATCCAGCACTTTCAGGTTTGCACTAACCAATCCTTCTGGGAGCAGCAAGGTTGGGCCCAGCTTGTTTATGGACAGGTTGAGCCTCTGAAGCTGGGTCAGGGTATTTAGGAATCTAATGGGAAGTGATTGCAGATGGTTCTCATGAAGGTTCAGGAGTTCCAGGGAGCTGCAGATTGGGAGATCCTCATCCTCTATGTTTTGTATTTGGTTCCTCCCAAGGTCAAGTGCACGGAGTTCAAAGTAGCTGGTCACATTCCCAGGCAGTTTTTCTATACCTGTACTCACAAGGGAGAGGAAGTCCAGGTAGAACAGTCCTGAGCCTAAGAGGCTGAATGCATTTAGTGGGGTTCTATCCAATTTCAGGGAATGGACCTTAAGGCCATGCAAGGCTCTGACACCCACATGGCTCAGCTTCAGGTTGGAAGACAAATCCAGGACCTCCAGGAAGGGGAGGCTTTGTCTGAGGCTGGCTGTAGGAGAGGTACCAGGCATAAGCATGGGGAAGAGCCCTTGCAGTTCCTGCAGCTCTGTCAAACAGCTGTGCCTCAGACTGAGATGACTAAGGCTGCTTGGCAACTGGATATTCTGGCTACAGTTCAGGCAGTAGCCTTGAAAGGAAAGGGTACTGAGGAATCCAAGGGGCTCCAGAGCATCTGGAGGGAGGAACAGACTCAGGCAACAGGGAGCATGATGCTCAAAAATAAGGTGCTGCAACAGGCCCAATCCTTGAAAGGCCTGTGGTGTGATCTCCAGGGTGCCCAACTGCAGCCTCAGAAGCCTCAATGAGGGGAAGTGGCCAAAGGCATTAGCTGGCAGAACAGGAACTATGCCCTGGAGGCAAAGTGCCTCTATATCTGGGGGCACTCTCCTCAAAGTCTGAACCAAGTCTTTAACATTGGAGCAAGATGCAAAAAGATGCAGTCCTGGGTCCAAGGAACAGAACGGAACATAGTAGGAGAGGTTAGGTAACAAGGAACTGTCTGCTATGGTGCAATCAGGGGCAGTCCATGCCCAACTTATCAAGCCAAGGCTCATCAAGGCCAGCAGTAAGAGCAGAAGGACTGTAGAGGAGAACAGAGATCTTTGCATCCTTGTTACTGCTTCTAGGAAAAGAGGGAAAGAATAAAGGTGTCAAATCTTACAGTAGTGGTCAATCCCAGCCCAGAGCCCTTGAATATTCATAACATCTTGGGACATATTGGAGAATTAGCTCTGTGATATCAAGGAAACATTTGACCAAGTAGGGGGCTCAGATTGCACTCCCTCATGCATGCCTGCAGGCAGATAGTGAGCCAAAGCACACAGAGAGAAGCAAGAAGAACCAGATACTTGAAACTTGTGATAGTTCCAAGGAGAGGAAATGATAAGACTTTTCAATCTTCTACTCAGGTTAGCTGGAGGGAGGGGAAGTGAACAAAGGCTTTAGCTATCAGAATAGGAACCATACCCTGGAGGCAAAGCACCTCTAGATACCTAGGCACTCTTTTCAGGGTCTGAGCCAGGTCTTTAACATTGGAGCAAGGTGCAAAAATGTGCAGCTCAGGTTACTAAGTTCTTTGAGGGCGAGATCTCAGGGGACCTTCCAAGACTAGGCAGCAGATTTACTTGCCCATTACAGAGTGGAATAAAGGAGAAAAAAGTCTTGAAGATACAAACATAAAAAGATAGGAAAAGGGTATGCTCTTATTTGATCTTCAATGGTGGGACATAGATGGGTCCAGTGTTTTACTCATGAGGCAGCTGAATGTCAAAGAAGGTCACTTGCCAAAGTCGAAGAAGTAGAAAGTGGCAGTGTTAGGACAAGAGTCCAGATTTTCTGCCTCCGTGGTTGATGTTTGTACTATACCAAGTCCTCAGTGTTACAGAGTTGAGTTTTCAGAAAATAGAAAGTTTCAAAAGATAGTTCAGGAAAGATACCAAGAAATTAGATAAAGTGAACAAGGTAATAATGAAGCTTAAAAATCAGATAAAGATACCTTAACATCTTGATACTTTTATGTTCAGAACTGAGTGCTGAAGGTAGGAATTTGCATTGACCTTCTCTCACTGTTTATTTATTCCTCACTCATGGTAATCATGTATCCCCTATGGTAATTCCTGAAAGGATGGGAAGAGGCAGGAAAGCAGTCTGGGAATGACAGGCATTGATTAGTCACAAATGAAGGCACTACCCTTCTTCGGGGGTTTGGGCTCCTGTCTCTGGGGAAAGGAGGATTTTGTATTAAACATCATGGACTTCCCTGCCTCTCCTTGGAGACACAAAAGTACAGTATGCCTGAGTGATAACAGAAAGCTGGCTCTAGAAGGGTCTGCCTTCCCTCAAGTAGTGTATCCTATCAGCAGTTAGAGCACTGTAGTCCTAGGAATCTCAGATGTGGGTCAAGGTTCAGAGGAGGCCTAAGGAGAAAGGCCTGGGAATTCATCATCTAGATGACTCAGTCTTACTGTAGATGGTTTAGGTACATCTGATATTCTATCATTCTATTTCCATGACTATTTGCCATTCTTAAGCCTCGATGTGCCCTGTTATCCTTAGGGTTTTTTCTCCATTCTAGCATATTCAGGGAGATGTCAGGAGATGGAATCAATCTCACACCAAATGGATATAACGGCCTGTGGAAAGAAATCCAGGGAACAGAATTCTGAGTTATAGATCAGTCCTTTGTCCTTAGCAAATTAAGTTTGATGGTATTACCCTGATGCACATGTGAACTGTCCATGAATGACAGTTCCTTATTTGGCTGGTTAAATTGTCTCATGCCTTAACCAAAATGTCCTCCTTAAGCTCTGCCTAGTCCCCTGAAGAAAGGCAAGGTAACTGTGCATTTTGCTTTCTACCTTATCAATTCTACTAATTGCTCTTTCATCTTGTCCACAAAACTAACTTGGCTCTAGGGCAGCAGCTTGCTTACCTTTGAGTAGAGGAAATGGACCATAGTAGAGTTCAAATTTCTCAGGAAGGATTCCGTCTCATCTTCTACTAAAGCAAAGGGGTAATTTTGTGATTCTTTCCTCCACAATGGCCTTTACTCTGTTACACATAAGTACAACACTCACAGGGAAGGAGAAGACTACTTCCTCAATCTCTTAACTTCTCTCCAAACTACACCCGTTTCTCTCAAACAACTTTTTCTATTTCATGATTCCTCTTTCCTGGTCTGTTTGGGGGTTTCAGTTCTCACTTACTCTGTATCATGTCCTGATGTTTGAAAGAACAGGCCTTCATTTTTCAGAGAATTTTCGTCTTTAAAGTAGGAGAGACCCGCCATCTCCACCATTTGTACCCTTCCTCTGCCCCCACACTCCTAATGAGCTTCATGTTCAGTTCTTTTAAAGCAGGAAGATAGAAGTGGAACCTGCAAACTTACTGGAGGAAACTCTGTCTTCATAGTGAGGCTGGCAGGGCTGAATAAAGGGAAAAAAGGAATGGTAGGTTTCTATCTAAATGGGTCTTTTTTTCCAGAGCATATGTACCATGGGTAAACTTTTGGGTAAGAAGTCTTAAAATCAGAACTATATTTGAGTAACTAATATCCTAATGAGAGAGGGATTCTCATATTCAGATTCATGCTTACTTTAACTAAAATCGTTTTTGAATATGTTTTACCTGTGTTCTTGCAATAACAATGACTTAAGCTTGCCTTGGGGGATATTTAAAATAGTTCTCTTAAAAATAATTCTCTTAGTTGTCTGAACCATTAAAATTTCAGGTTCCATGAAAGAAGCTTTTGTTGTGTGGAGAATTGGGGAGCAAATTTAAATTTATTTTTCCATACACATTTATGAGTTTTGACCAAAATCTTAAGCTCTCTAGTGCCTCGAAGTTTTTTTTTAATTAACATTTTTGTCTTTCGGAACTTTTGCATTCACTATCTGTTCCTCTTGATGCTGATTTGGATATAAATACCTGCGTAAGAAAAGTATCAATTTCCTAAAGTGAGACTTTTGAGAAAAGGGGCTGCTTCTAAACTTCTGTCACTATGTTCATTTTTCAAATTTTATGCCTAATACACCTCAAATTTATTCTGGTTCAATACACCCACCTTAAGAAATTAAATGTTGCAATCTCCTTTGTTTATGGTAGTCATTATTTGATATGCTTATGTTCAAGAAATAATATAAGTGGAGTATAGGTTTGCCTCATTTTTGCTGTCTAAAGCTTCTGGTGCTCTTGAGAAAGGAAACATATTGAGAAGGATTTATCAGAAATGTAGAAGAGCCTAGGTCTACGATGACATCTTGGAATTGCCTACCTGTAGATTTCAATGGACTCTACCTCTTGCAGTGTTGTTAGGAAGAGAGGGACAATTAATTAAATGTTAATCTAGCATATGCTACTGTTTCTTGGGCTTTTCTTAGATGTTGTTGAATCTAAATCTAACACATACAGTTCTGAATCTTTGAATAGGTATTGTGTTCCTAGAACTTAAAAATGAAGAATAACTATATTATTATAATATTAGCTACTATTTATTAAATATTTGTTCCTATCCTTAAATCCTGGACTCTTTATTTGGAGATAACCAAATTAGCATTTTGAAAAAATTGCTTTGTTTTCAAAGATAGCTGAAGTATATGTCTTAATGGATTAAGAGGTGAGCACTTGTAATATGATGTTATAAGAGGTATGTAAACAAAGCATAATAATTCAAACCTTTTTTTCTTTCTTTTTTTTTGTGGTACTGGGGTTTAAGAGTCCCATACCACTATAAAGAAAGAAGTGATTTTGAGTGAAACACAAGAATTAGAGTGTGAATTAGTCTCTTCACAAACTGCCCACATGGAAAAGTGTTTGAGAAGTTCTGCAAAGATAATGTTATAATTCTTACTGTAGACATAGCATTATCTTTTAGTATGCAGAGGGCAGAAGGGTGTTAGGTGTGTGGTCTAACAATTTTGTAATTACACATTCACTTCTAAACGTGGATTTTTTAGAACTCCACACTCATTGTAAGTTAGGTGAAGTACACTTGTTTATCATTAAAAATTTAGACAGATAATAGCATAAAAGAGGAAACAAAGAATTTAAATTATCCATATTATGACCCTATATTTATGTAAGATCATATAATAATATTGTTTTATGGTCTGCCCTTTTCACCCAATAACATAATATTCTACATATTAAATATTTCACATAAAATTTATATAATTGGGTAGTTATTATCTTAAAACAACTAAAAAGAAATTCTTATTCACCTTCATTCATGTCTCTTTTATGATACTCATTTCTGTGTTAAATCTAGCTCTTTGGTCTGCATGAGCATATAGTTCTGAGGGCATCTATACAGGACTTAGCCACATTTCCATGGAGAGAAAAACAGCCAGCAGGATCCTTTCTGAACTTGAGGTCAGCAGAGCTGGTTCCCTCACCTTGAAAATGTATTTTCTTTGAATCTCATTTATGAAATAAATATCTACCCTAGCTATGGGACAAAAACTGTGAAGATGAACTGAGCAACTATGTGATAATGTTGTTTCAATGTTAAAGAGCTTTATAAATGGAAGACATTGATAATATTAATTGACATTGATTCCATGCATACTATGTATAAAGTGGTGTTCTGATTTGTCTCATTTATTCATCACAGCCACTCTCAACAGAAGTATTATCATCAATTCTATTTTATTGATTCAACACACAAGACAGAAAGGGAGAATAATTTATATTTCAAACCACTTTACCTGATTCATGGGTGCTTTTTGTCTTTAGAAGTAGTGTAGTCTCTGTAGTTAGCCTTGAATTGGATACCATCTTCAACTAAGGAAGTTACTCTTCCTTTTTGCCACTTTCATCTTCAGTAATTTGAAGATAAAATACTACTGACCTGACCTCTTTGGGTTGTCAAAAATAATAAGTAAGATAATACACAGAAATGACTTGAACAGTGCCTGGCATAAAACAAGTGTCTGAAAATATTAGTTTTTTTTTCAATGTTGCCAAAAGAGCAAATCCTGTGGTGGTGAATTTGCACATTTACACTTATTAAACTAATGAATGCACACTCTGTGTTTTCTTGCATCCCATGCCTATATTTTTTCAGTAAACCCATGTGTACACAATGTTGGGTTGCACAAACATATTTTTCTATATGGAAGAATTAGTTCTAAACAATGGGAGATTCAGTATTTGCTCAGAGTAGTAAGAATTTAAAGACAGTTAATAAACACCATGAGTCAGATTTGAAAGTAGAAAATACTATCTTCATTTCTCCCAAGGAAACCACTAGACAGCACAAGTACTTTTAAATATCACCCTGCTATGTTCTTTTGAAAGTCTAAATGCTTGGGAAAAATAAGAGTATCTTTTTATTGCTGTCCTTAATACTCATTTTCTCTTCCTCTCTTTGTCTTTGGGATGCAGCTTGGCTTGAAAAAATGTGGTATATGAATTGTAGTGTAAATAATTTAGTGCTATGGAAAGAACTGTGAACTAATCTTAGTTGTAAGATGAGACCATTGGAAAGCTAATAGCTTTAGTGTATTAATTTAGTAACTGTAGCTAGAGGACTTTGAAATTATGGTGGCAATACTGCCTTTCTTGACCACTTGTTATTCCTGGGTTCTTTCTTGAGGGAATTTAAAGGTCATAAACTCTTACAAAAGGGGTATAGAGACAGGAAACATCAAAACTGGGATGTATAAGTGAGAGGTACATGGTAGAGTGTTCGTAAGGAAAATTCATTAAGGAATTTGACAAATTCTTATATGAAAGGAGAAAATTATTTTTCTGCCTAGAATATTCATACCAAAATGAGTGATGATCTCTCCCAAGAAACTATTGTATGACAAAAAAGAAAAAAGTTTTGCATATATGTAATATTCTTATATCTTGGATTTTCCAAACAGTTCTGTTTGGATTAGATGAATCCTAACTTAAATTTGCAAAATATTATCATGACAAATCTTTTTGAAGTTTCTATTCAGATTATTTTATAACAAAAAATGGAAGTAACTATAATTTCTAACCAAAAGATTGGAAGTAAATGGAAAAGGGTATCCTGATTGGTTGAGTACTAATTTTGTAAAAGGTCATTCTTGTGTAGTGATGCTATTCATTTTTCTCCTAATCCACTCTGAAAATTGTCTTTCTTGTATCCTTTATAAGATGATTCTAGGAAAATATTTACCTGACCATATAAAAATTCACAATCCATATCATGTTAATTCAATATAATAGTATAGTTCCTAAAAATAATAATTATTAAAACTCATTATAACACAGAACATGTTCAACATTGTATTAAATAAAAAGACATAAATGAAAAGTTACATCAGAATGATTGAAATATGGATAATTTTTTCCTTTAATATTTTTCTTTAATGTTTCTTCCACATAATTTCAGCAATAAATAACAAGGAATTGTCATTTTTTAACTTTAGCAGTTTATCTCCAAATATACCATTTCCTGCTACAGTTTTTAGAAACATACGTTCTATTTTCTAAAACTCAACTAGTGCATCAAGATTTTTTTGACATCTCATTGAGGTAAAAATATTAGGGGCCCTCTACATAGCATTTATGAATATTTTTACTGGTGTTGCTATACATGAAATTAGAGTTGTCTTTCAGAGGCTTAGAAACAGGTGTGAAGAACACGGCACATACAGAATATATCTTTTTCTTTTTGGAACCTGGGGCCTTGTTCATGCTCAGCAGGACCATGCCTGTCACGACACCATGTTTCTAGGTGTCATTAGGCTAGAATTTAATTATGTCCCATAAATATTTGGGTAAATTGCTTGAAAGGGTTTATTTATCAGGAATAACCATAAAGTCACATATAAAAGGAACAGAAAAAATATTTTTTCATTTATTACTTATAATTAACCAACTAAACAATCCAAATAATTTTATCTCATAACTATAAACTTAAATGATCAAATAGAAGTTTTATCTGAGATGAACTGTGAAAACTATCCAGAAAACATCCAGTGTTTATATTCCTTAGTCAACACCCAGTTTAAGTTCCAAAGAGAAACCATATACTTCCATTTATCTATGTAATCTGACCAATTTAATTTTATAAGAGGCCCTACAGATATTTAATTTCATAGGTTAGTATAGTCAATGTCACCTGACATATTTGTAGATTATGATATTAATTAGCTATTTGACTCTGATTGTATTTTGTTGGACTCTACTGATCTGATCACAGAGAAATTGTTTCTTATGTCTTAGATTATATAGCGATTGCCTAGAACTTTCCTCAGGGCTGCCTTTATCTCCTTATTCTGGAAGCTGTAGATGAGTGGATTGAAAAGTGGGGTCACCATAGCATAGAACAAAGTTGCAACTTTCTGCATTCCAGCAGAGTGTCCAAGTCCTGGGCTCACATACATGACCATAAGAGAACCATAGAACAGTGAAACCACAGTCAGATGAGACCCACATGTGGAGAAGGCTTTATGTCTTCCAGTGGCTGAAGGCACGTGCAACACGGCTATTAGGACAAAAGTATAGGACCCAAGAATGAAGAAGAAGTTACCAAAGATAACTAGTGAGCTTAGAGTGTAGCAAAGCAGTTGAGTTCTTGGAGCAGAGACACACATCAATGTGAAAAGTGGTCCTGGGTCACATACAACATGGTCAATATTTGGACCACAGAAGGGCATCTGAGAGATGAGAACAATGGGGATTAAGAACCACAGAAATCCACAAACCCAGCAGATAATGACCAGTTTGGTACAGAAATTTACAGTCATGATATTAGGGTAGTGCAAGGGACGGCAGATAGCCAGGTACCGATCAAAGGCCATAACAGTCAAAAGAAAGCATTCAGATGTACCCAAAGAGAAAAAGAAATAGAATTGGAGGAAGCACCCAGCAAAGGAGATGTCTTTTTTCTCTGAGAGGAAGTTGGCCAACATCTTGGGGACTGTAGAAGAAACATACCAGACCTCTAGAAAGGAGAAATTCCCCAGGAACATGTACATGGGAGTGTGGAGTCGCTTATCACACAGTAGGGAACAAACAATGGCCCCATTCCCTGTTATGGTGAGAGTAAATGTTGTAGTGAAGAGTGAGAAGAGGAGGATCTGAATCTCCCACTCATAAGAGAAACCTTGAAGTATAAATTTTCTTTCAAATAAAAAGCTGGAATCTGGCTCAGAGGCGTTCATTGTGTCATAAACTGCAAGATACAGAAACATATTGTCACCAGTTAGGACTAGTTTAAAATGTGTTACCTTTATTAAGAATGTAGAGAAGACTATAAGAATGGAGCTATTTTTCAAAGGAATCATCAGTTAGGAGGAAAACATATTGTATTTTTTCTTGACTATATAATTTGAATTTTAAATGTAGAAAATAGCTTTCCTACACAGAAACACAGTTTTACCTACTTCTAAATTTTCCACTTACTATGGGACTGTGATAGAACTAGATAAAGTTAAACTCATAAACATCTCATTTTGATCTGTGAGAGCTTCTGGCAAGCATCTAACACATAATTGGCACTTAATAAGTATATTGGTTTCCCACCCCAAGTCCTACTCATGATGCAATGGAGTCACTAAAGAGTTAAGAGTATTTAATTATATTTCAGTTAAATATATTACTTAACTATGCACAGGAAATGAACATATTTTGCAGTAAATTGGTAATAATCACTTTAAAGCCATATTTCTGAATTTGTATTGCTGCTTCTTTAGCTGGAGCATCATAACAATGTAATTTATAATGTTACTTACCAACAATGACTTCAATATTGTACTCTTGCAGTGTCTTCTGTGGAAATCAGAGGCTTTAAGTTTTTGCTTAGCCTTTCACTTTGATTTCATAGGCTGATATAGTCACTATCATTCTAAGATGGTCAATATCAGATTGGTTTAGTCAATTTGTGTGAAAGTTTGCAGAAGACGATCTAAGCATGGAACTTTATTTTTGACGTTTTTTTCCACAAAACTTTTCTTATATGCCTATGTAAAATAAAATAGTTCTACTACATGACAGAAGTCAAATACTTTCCTTTGTTGTAGGTATATTTCCTTCATTGTGCTTTTTCATGAAAAACATGTCAAGGATTTATCTAAGTTACAAGACAAACTGTTTTGAAATATCTAGGGATGTGATTCTAGAAAGTCATGAAGGCTTGCTTATATTTGGGGCAGAAACAAAGTTTCCAAAGTAATTTTTTCTTTAACCAGGTTTCTACACCTCTACTCTGTGCAGTCTTTTAGTATAAGTAGTTGAAAGGTGTTTGTACTTTTATTTTTTTACTAATATGTATCTCTTTTTAAAATGCTCCAAACCAGAAGCATTAATAAATCAATTTTAAGAAATTATGAAATAAAAGGGGACTGACAAAGAGATGCCATGATCTTTATCAGTACCCAAAAGATGAAGCTATCATAGCTTTGACATGAGTCAAATCTCTAAATGACTTGTCCTGTGCCTAGTCAGATAGTGTCTCTTATTGCTGCACAAAAATTAAGGATGCACTTTCTTTATCTCACTTTCTCTTGGGACTTGGTCTCTTTAGCATTAGGAAAATACTTCTCTACAAAACCAAAGGATCTTTAAAAAATTAATGATTACACATTCTCTGAGGAACCAATAAAATAAAGGCAACTTCTTTAGGCACCATTACTTGCACAGAACTTGCCCATCTGCACAATAGACTCCAAATCTTCCAGAAGTCACAATCTGAAGAAATATGATGTGATATGTCACCAAATGTTTGCTCATGAAGTTCAATTTTTCTGGTGTCTATGCATATCCCTGTGCATTGAAGGATAAGAACCCAATGAGAAAAATATTGAAGCTACAGACATTTTAACATACTGATTAAAAACTTGTAGAATTTAGAAATCACTTTACAAATAATAGCATGGAAGAATTCTTTACATATGACAGGAAAGTGAAACAGGATTGATGTTTAAGTTACTTGACAGAGAAACATGTGGCTTCCTAATGAATATGAGAAAAGTATTTATTGCCATTTATTAGTGTCCCTTCTATTTTTACCTATGGCTTTTGGAGGTCTACACAGCACAACTAGAACATTTAGGTGGGAATGAATGCTCATACTAAGTGGAATAAAATGTTGAGAATGTCAGGAATGTGTGCCTTAGGAATACTGCTCTCTGTAAATGACAGCTAAAAATGACCAAAAATTTCTCACATTGAGGAAGTAAAGAGGAAAAAGATTGCAGAACTTTTTAGCCTCTTGATACTATACTGGATTGTTGTTCTCTGGGTTTGTGTCCTAGTGCAGTTGATGATTGAAGGTGCCAGACAAGCCATTAAAAGTTAAAGCAAGTTCATGCCAGGCCAGGAATTAAGAGTAAAGCCAGTACAAAGTTTATTGAAAGGATAGCACAGCATCTTGACAGGTGGGACTTAGGGAAAGAACTAAGCCAAAAGATGACTGGCATTCATGAGATTAATTAGGGGACTTACTTTAGTCATTTCTCCCACTCTGAAGCTGTAGCTATAACTGGCTGTATAATTAACTTCTTGCTGAACCCAACCTTTATCTGGCTGCCCTCATCCTTATTGGACTGGACATTCTAAGAGGGTCTCGTTCGTCCATCCTGTCCTTGAGGTTTGTCACCTACATTTTATGGCTACTGCTCATTATTCTGTTGAGACCCCCTTTTTGTTTATCGTGGGAAAGTATGCTGTGTTACTTTCCTTTAGGGCTCTATATTTCATTTCCTTAAATGTCTGTCTTTAGGAATGCTTTTTTTGTTTGTTTGTTTTCCTTATCTAGGAGAAAAATTGCTGTGCTTTACCACCTGTGTGAAAAGCCTATTTCACAAGTCTCCTTACATGTTTTGCTTTTAAGAGTGCCTTCCTGTCTCCTTTATCTAAAACAAAGTTACTTCTGCTATCTGCTCCCTTTACATCATCTGGGTCATATCTGTCATTTGTTCCCAGAGACATTTCTGCCATTTTATTTCCCTTAACATTTGTCCCCTTACACTCTCAGTCATTCTACTTCAGTCCCTAGTAACTCCTAAAATATAGCTTTGATCTTGTTATTTGCCTGCTCAAAAACCATTAATGATTTCATTATTCAAAATAAAGGCCAAATTCCCAAGATCTTTCATAGATTGACTTCAAGTTACTTTTCTTATCTTTCACATGAGCTGGTGTCTCATTCTAGCTGTTTTTTATTTCCTTTGTTGTGGCAGTATGGTCAGACAAGAAACCAAGTGACACAAAGAGGAATGGAGAACTCAGATTTTATTTTTATGCTTGTGGGCTCAGACATGTACCTGTGTCTGAGCACTGAACAAAGGATTCACAAGATATTTAAAAGGCAGTGCAGGGCACCAGGGTACAAAAATGTGCTCAGGTTGTGGTGTCCTAACCAGTGAGTTAGAGACTTAAGATTGTTTAGGTTAATTGGGCTGGTAGTGAGCCAGGGACCTAATGTTGTTTAGATAAGGTCAGCAGGGGAGAGAGACCTGCTTTGGAAAGTTTATTTGTAAGTAGAGACAAAGAAGGGCAGGACTGGGTGCTTATCTCTGCATGGTGCCTTTCATCTCAGTACTGAACTTTTGCATGGCTCTAATGGGCAATTCCTCATGCTTTACAGCTCTGTCTGAGGTTACATCTTTTAATTGACAGTTTACTGTTTTTTATGACCCTGTTTCAAGGCTGTCTTCCTCTTCATTCCCCCCTTTTGATGCTTTTTCCACTTGTGGACAAGCATCAACACTAGACTTTAGAAATCTCATAAGGTTTTTCTTGCCCCAAAGACATATATTGTGTTACCAGGAGCTGAAACTTTATCACCTTCATTTGCAAGCTAATGCAGTTAGTTATGGTGTTAAGAAGGCACACACCAAACACAAGTGCCAATAGAGGCATGAGGAGAGGGCCAGATAACGGAATGAGCCATATCTCTGCCTATTTCCATCGATTTACATAAAACAACACTCTGTGTTTAAGAAAAGTCAAAGCCCTCCCTGTTTGGCAGTGAGTAAATCTAACCCTCTCTGGTTTTGGGGGACCACTGATGCTAGAGAGTTTAGCTGGTCCTGCATGGTCACTACAGATCTAGACACTTGTTCTATGTCATTTGTTAGATCCACAGATAATTGATTATAGTAGGTGGCTGATGAGGCAGTCCCTCCTATGTCTGTTCCTTTCCCAGTCATTATCCCCAGTCTGATTAATAAAGGTATGAATTGGACAGCTCTCTTCAACTGCATATGAGCCATTAAAGGTGGAGGTGGGGGGGGGTCTGATTGTTAGGCACTATGTTTATCTGGGGTGAGGAATGTTAATGTGCAAATGCCCTTCCAGTTAACTAGCAAGGGCCCCTCAGACAAAGAGGATTCCCAGGCTGGTGCACCATAACCTGTCAACTGTACATCTAATGGTGGTAGCTCTATAGTTGAGATTCCAAGTTAAGGTTTCCTGTCCTAGAAGGAAGCTTAATGGGGAGTCGTGGTGGTGGAGGATCAATGTTTTTTAATGGCCCAGATCCACCTAGGTAATCACCTCTGGGTGGCCTCTAGATCTGTGGCTCTCCCCTTAGTAAATTGATATGGGGGTGGAGTGGAAGGGTAGGGTGGCACAAGGGGGTTTATTTCCTCCCCTGTTCCATGACTTTAAGGCATCCCTGTCTTTCTGCCAGCAACCCATCTGCCCTATAGTGCCTTTGTTCTTGCAACCCAGTTAGGCCTATCAGCTTTCTTTATAGTAAATTGTCCCTCCCCTGATACATTCAAAAATTGACATGCTGCACACATGTGACAGATATTGATAAAAGGTGAAAGCATACCACAGTTTTCCCTGGAAGGAAAGTGGCCTTACACAAGCTGAGCAGTCATCCTGGCCTCTGGATTGAACAACCTTAAAATGTAGTAGAGTTAGAAGGCAATAACACATCAGAGACCTCAAGCCTGAGACTGGAGTCTGGGCTACAGACAACACCAAACAGGAGTAAGGTGTCCTACTATGAGGAGATAGCAGAAGGCCAGCAGTAATCTCTGGCCTACTTTCCAAACTTGGGGAGCAGTGACAGCCAGTCCTAGTGCAAACAGACTGCAACAATGGTAATCATCAGGGTAAGGTATGGGTGACAGAAAAGAGGATACATTTGTGTCCTGGTGGATGAATCCTCAGGCTTCTGGCATGCGTTGACCAACGAGCTTCTGGGATGTGGCTTGGGCAGGGCTGGAGATC